TTTTTTTTTTTGGGGGGGGGGGGGGGGGGGGGGTACCACTTCACAGCCCTATTTCATAAATGCTGAAACCTGTCACTCACTGTCATAATTTGCAACTCTTTACAACCTTAAACCTGTTCTAATAGTCTTTAGCCCTATTTGGATGGTACAGTTTACATGCTTGTGTAACAGAAATTACAGCTGCTTGTTTGTAATTTAATTATGGGAGCAATTTCTGTGCCATGAGTGTTATTGAATGAAATCCCATAAATAGCGGATGAAAACTTAATTTCATCTATTGTTTGGCCAACTTGGTAGTTTCGCCTCCAAACTTGAGGCGTTGTTTGAGTCAGTGTCATTCTGTCCAGCCCAGTCAGGCCACTGATTGCAATGCTCCCATAATTAATCCAGCTATGGTGCAAGTGCTGTAGTGAACACTTTGAAACAGAAACAGATGCAGATGCAAATGTCATTTAAAAAATATTTTTGAATCTTTTTTTGGCCACAGCTAATTTAAAAGGTCGCTGTTTTGACACTTTTGATACATAAAACTAACCTGCTGCCAAATTCAAAGTTTGATCTCAAAGGAGGTATGCAAATATGTTACAGTCATCATCCTGAGAAACAATTGCCTGTGCAAACAGTGCTTTTGATTTCAGCTGAGATTAAATGCTGCAAGATTTTATCAGAATGTTCCATCCTTGTTCCTGCAATGTTTAAATGCAGTAAAAACCTTTAATGACTTTATTATGATATTTTATTCAATTTTTAATTATTTTTGTCAACTCTGTGCAATAATTGCTCTGTTTAGATAAATAAATAAAAAATTAAAAAACACATGAGTCTACTGTGCTATCAGCAAATCCAAAATTTGAGTTTGAATATCCATTAACTGATTCTTGAGTACTGAGACAAAATTGAAAACTGAAGAATTTCTATTTGGTTGTACAAAGGAATTATTTTCAGTTACTAAGAGGTTCAGAGTTATTCATGTGTTTGGGTGCATCTGCTGCTCCAATGTCCCACAAAATGTATTTTCCCTTGCTAATTATTGCAGTAATGTTTGTTACTCTGAACTCTCATTCTGACGGCACCCATTCACTGCAGTGAGCAAGTGATATAATTTCTCCAAATCTGTTCAGATAAAGAAACAAACTCATCTACATCTTGGATGACCTGAGGGTGAGTACATTTTCAGCAAATTTTCATTTGAGTGAACTCTTTTTAAGGAAAAAAATATAAATATTGAATCTAAATTTGAATCACTATGAAGAACTATGTTGTTTTGTCACACATTTTGCTGTATGTGTAAAGAATTTTTTCAGTCCACCACTGTGCATTAGTACTGATTTGTGAGTCAGACAGTTGCAGTTTAATGATATTTCCAATGTGTTTTATTCCAGTTAGCCTTCGTGCCACTGATGTTATTGACCTAAATCAAGTATCTTGTTTTCCATTTATATTGGCTTTATCTACAAGCTCCTCCTAATGTCCATGTTCTTTTCTGTGTTCTTTGTTTCTCGATCATTTCTTGTCCAGACATGCTGTTTCCTCTCTTACTACAGTATCTCCCAGTCTCTTCTCTTCTCTTTCTGTTCTTCTCTCCTCTCTGTATTTCAGATGAACTGAACCCAGATCAGATGGTGGGCTGGTGCTGTGTGTCTCTGGCTCGCACTCCTCATTAACAGCTTGGCTCTCTCTGGGGGACTGCAGGATCTGCCTGACATTTTGCTGACCAGGAACATACCGCAGAGAGACACGGTGGGAAGAGGAATGCGAGCCAAAGATCAGATTCCAAACGAGATCATTAGATAGAAGGAATGCATCACGCCTGAGATTTTATGCTACGGTAAAATGTGCACTAAAACACGGGGGTAAAGATGCAAGAGAAAAGAGTTTAAATGAATTTGTCATTCGCAGTAGAATCTTCCTGGACAAGAAAAGAGAGAGTATAGATTGAACGGTAGAGATGTAGAGTGATTGATGAAAGAGAGACAGCAGTTGAGGAAGATCATCACAATGATTTGTAGATCATGAATGTTCAGATGAAGCCGAAGAGGGATTACACTGATTACATAACTCTGTGTGTGTGTGTGTTGAAAGAGCATTGATGGCAGTGAAGAAGTGAACTGGATGTGAGGAGAGCGTCAGTGAGGGGATGAATACAAATCAGTTTTCCTTTTTTCTTTGGTTTCTCTCCTCACTTGTTTTTTTTCCTTTTACTACGTTTTGTAATATACATAGTTACAGTCCTGGGTGCTGATTGTTCAATACAATGTACGTTTACATGCACAGGTTTTTGTTTTTAGACCAGATTTAGTCGGTAGTAATGACTGAACTGTAAGGCAGATGTTAAAAGTTCTTTATGGAACCATTTAGACAAAAAGGTTCTTCTATGTAATGATTTGTAGATCATGAATGTTCAGATGAAGCCGAAGAGGGATTACACTGATTACATAACTCTGTGTGTGTGTGTGTGTTGAAAGAGCATTGATGGCAGTGAAGAAGTGAACTGGATGTGAGGAGAGCGTCAGTGAGGGGATGAATACAAATCAGTTTTCCTTTTTTCTTTGGTTTCTCTCCTCACTTGTTTTTTTTCCTTTTACTACGTTTTGTAATATACATAGTTACAGTCCTGGGTGCTGATTGTTCAATACAATGTACGTTTACATGCACAGGTTTTTGTTTTTAGACCAGATTTAGTCGGTAGTAATGACTGAACTGTAAGGCAGATGTTAAAAGTTCTTTATGGAACCATTTAGACAAAAAGGTTCTTCTATGGCATCGTGAAGCACCTTTATTTTTAAGAGTGTATAGCCGAACTTAGACATTATAGGATAAAATGGGAACTGCCCACCTTTCTATTCCCATTTCTTTAGGAATTTACAACAATTTTTTAATAAAGTACTTTAAAATCAGTGCAAAAGGCAAATAAACTTAATGTTATTTATGAGGGAGTGAACTATAATCCCAAGAAACACTGTAATGATTCAATTGAAATGAAAAATTACAGTACAATATAAAATTACTGTTTCATAGTCATAGTTTCAAAAGTATACTCACCAAGGCCGTATTTATTATAATAATATTAAATAATATTATAATTAAAAATAATGGTTTACGATTTTAATAATAAGATTTTAAAAATGTATTGCTGTCATGACATATCAGCATTTTTAGAATCCATTATTCGAGTATCTCGTGATCTTTTAGAAATAATTCTTATATGCTTATTTGCAGCTCCAGAAATATTTCTTATCAATTTTGAAAACATTTGTGCTGCTTCTATTTTCTTTTCTTTTTTTATTCTTTGATTAATAAAACATTCAATTAAAAACAGCTTTTATCTAAAATAAAATCTTTTGTTACTATAATAATCATCACTGTCAATTCAAATCAACTCTCAGGACTTCTTCATCTGGCATTTGGGTACTAAATGTGATTTTGTTTCTTTTTAATGAAGTTGAGATTACGCTGTCTCATGGTTTCAAATAAAGCATATGTTGATTAATAATCTCAGAAGTCTGTTTTGAAAGGATTATATTATACAGAATCATTAAAAATCTATTTCTTCATTGAGAAAATGAAAACCTCTCTGGCTTAAGTGGGTAATTTTTGCTCCATTAGTGGCACCAAATTGAATTGCAAAAATTACTGTATTTTAACAGGTTTCCCATCTGCCATTGGTCTTATTGCCTAGTTATGTAACTGTTTACAATACTTGTGACTCCTCTCATAACTTCTCATCTCTCTCAATCTCTTTCTTTCTCACTCGGGGTTAAATGAAATATTCATAGCTTGGCAGTGAGTAAGCGAATGCACCAGCAGAGTGTCTCAAACATGTTCCCTCCTTCACATGTGGAGATATGTCACTCACACAGTGTTTTTATTTGTGTGCATTGTTTTCATCCATAAATTTCTTATTCAGGCAGGAATTAGAAGACGCTCTCGGTTACTCACGTAACCTCGGTTCCCTGAGATGAGGGAACGAGACATTGCTATGGGAATTACCCTTTCCTCCAAATACTACTGAAGCCTTATTGAATCACGCCAGTGAAACTGGCCAATGGCGTTCAAACGCGCGAAATATGAGGGGCTCCCATTCTATATAAAGCAGCGCTTGTACATCATCCATTCAGAATCTTGACTAAAGCAACTTGGCATTCTAAGATCCTGATCTAGGTGACACGGCAATAAGAGCAATGTCTTGTTCCCTCATCTCAGGGAACCGAGGTTACATGAGTAACCGAGAGCGTTCCCTTTCGATTCGGTCACTCTACATTGCTATGGGAACGTATAAAATCCCGCCGTGTCACAGCGATGGAGCCTGGCTCGACTATGTATGTCAAGTTTCACATACGGCACCGTAATGAGAGCGGCAATGATATTGGCGCTCTTGTTAAACACAGCTCAGGTCTACAGGACCTAGTCGAAACCATGTAAAAGTCAAGGGGGGGCGCGCGGCAACTAGACCATGCCGCATCACACCAGGGGCAGAGTTAACGCTGGTAAAACAGAATATGAAATGGCGCCGGCGCCATCACATATATAGACCAGTTAAAGTTAGTTAATTTCAATGAAATTTTGATCTATAATTGAGCTTAACTTTGAGCGCCACTTTAGAAGGCTCAGCTGACCAGCTATGCGTCGATGCTAAGACAGAGATTTCGCTTTCCTTGGACATTACAACCTATTTTCACAAATATATATGACTCAGCCTGGAGGACAGACGCAAGTAATCGCACGTGCTCAATCGATCTCCCTCTCATTCACTATCTGTTTAGGCTTGTTAAATGCAAATCTATGGAGCCTCTGAACAAATCAGCATGGTACACATTGTTATCATTACTAAATTGTTTAATATTCAGTCCACATACATGAAGTGTAAAACGAGAAGGGCATAACCTTACGAAAAAATAAAACACGGAAATTCGCGGTTGGTGTGGTTCTAACCAGTTCTATCGCGACAGCCCTAACCAGCATCTCCACTAGTTCTGGGAACCACGGCTGGTAGGGCCATTTCGGTGCCAGTAATAGAACAGAGTTCCTTTCCGCTCTGATTTTGCAAAGCATGCGAGGCAGAAGTTTGCGTACTTTCGGCCAGCTGTGAGCTAGTGCATCCACTCCTAGGGGAGACCGTGTCAGTGAATTAAACAGCGGGAAGTGAGTGTTCTCCGCTGATGCGAAGAGATCCACCTCTGCCCTGCCAAATACACTCCAAATCATATTGACTGTCAAAGGGTGTAATCTCCACTCTCTGTGGATCACCCCGCCCCTCGACAGTAAGTCTGCGCCGTGATTCAGGCGTCCGGGGACATGTACTGCCCGGATGGAGAAAAGGTGTTGATCTGCCCACAGAAGAAGGTCTCTCACCAGCCGCAGCAGCGGCCGCAAGCTCACACCCCCTTGGTGATTTATAAACGTTACCACTGTCATGTTGTCCGTTCCGGATGAGAACGTGACGGTGGAGAAGGTCCAGGAGAAAGCACTCGAGCGCTAGGTGTACAGCATGGAGCTCCAGGCAGTTTATGTGCCACAACTTCTCTGTTTCTGACCACGTTCCGAAGGCTGGTCTGTCGTAGCATACGGCTCCCCAACCCGTGCTCGATGTATCTGTCATAACAGTCTTTCTCCTGATCACTTGGTCAACAGGAGCACCCCAGCGATACAGTGTCATATCGCGCCAAGGGGTCAGCGCTTTCAAGCAGTCGGCGTTACTCGTACGTGCAAGGTGCCCGCACTTCATGCGCTCTGTGGCACGCGACTTTTCAGCCAGAGTCATTGTTGAGGCAGCAGCCATCTGGCCGAGCGTCCTCTGAAAGCATTTCATCGAGGGAGAGTGTCCTAGCTAGAAGACTGCGAGATAACTGATCAGTTTTTGTGTACGCTCCTCCGACAGACGTGCTCGCGTATTGATTGAATTCAGCTCCAATCCTAAAAAGGAGATGCTCTGGCTTGGTACCAGCATGCTCTTTTGCATATTCACAGTCAGCCCTAAGCTGTGAACATGAGCGAGAAGTCTGAGCTTGTCGCTGAGCAGCACGCTCTCTGATTGGGCTAAGACTAGTCAATCGTCGAGATAGTTCAGGATGCGCATTCTGCTCTGCTTTAGAGGAGAAAGAGCAGCATCCATGCACTTCGTAAAGTGTACAAGGGGCCATGGATAAACCGAAGGGTGGGACCGTGAATTGATACGCCATCCCCTCGAATGGCGGGGGGCTACCTGAATGTGGAAATAAGCATCCTTTAAATCCACGGAGATAAACCAATCTCCCGGTATGATGTGTGAGAGGATTTGCTTTAGTGTAATCATTTTGAACAAGCGCTTCGAAAGTGCACAATTCAGCGGTCTCAAATCCAAGATTGGGCGGAGTCCGCCGTCTTTCTTTGGCACCAGAAAATAACGACTGTAGAAGCCGCTCTCGCGATCTGCAAGGAGCACTGTCTCTACAGCGCGTTTTGCGAGAAGATTGTGTATGTCCTCTCGCAGAACTGAGGCATTCTGCTCCCGTACAGTGGACATTAACACACCGTTGAAATGGGGCAGTCTGCAGAAGAACTGAAGCGTGTAGCCGTTCTTTATTGATTTCATAACCCACTCTGATACCCCTGGCAGCGTCTGCAACGCTTCTGTGAACTGTGACAGCGGGCGAGGTGGGCTGCACACTGTGACGGATAACTCGCCGTTGGGGGGCCGGGGAGTTTAATACCACATGAGTGTGAGAGTGAGTGATGGGGGAGAGGGGAGTGAGAGGAGGAAAATTGCCCTGATATTGAGGTGAGTTTTGTATTTTTATACTTTTTTTTTTTTTTACTTTATTGCACTGCATAGTGGAACAGTCAAAAAACAAACATGACAATCATTCTTGCCGCCTGCAACAGGCAGGGAGGCGTGGTGAACACACACAGCGGAGTGAGCAGACTTCTTCAGTGGCTCGTCTTCGGCGCTGGGTGCAGCTTTCCTCCTCCGAGAGACAGTGTCAGGAACGCGGTTTTGATTCCAGAGTCGGTGGCCTACCGCCTCTGTCAGGGCGAAGCCTCTGGCTCTTGGAGCCCTGGCAGCGCTTCGGCCACGGCTGTCTTGGCCTCACTGCCGGCTCATGTTGAGGTGTGCGGTCTTCTCGCGCACTGTGCTGAGGAGGAGCGGGAACACACAGGAGGGTTCATGCCAACGCGTTTTGGCAGGAAGTGGCTAATGGCCTTAGACTGTTTCTGCGCTTCAACGAAGCGCTCCGTGAACATCTCCACCGCCGCTCCAAAGAGACCTGATGGATTCACGGGTGCATCCAGAAGGGCCGTCTTCTCTGAGTCTTTCAACTCAATCAGGGTAAGCCACAGGTGAGGATCCAGCACTACAAGATTCCCCATGTTGTGGCCGATCGTGCGAGCTGTAACTTTCGTCGCTCTGAGGGCCAGATCCATGGTGCGTCGGAGCTCTTTTTTCAGGGTCCGGGCCACCCTCATCCAGAGACTTGAGAAGTTTGGCCTTATACACCTGGAGTATCGCCATGACGTGCAGTGCTGAAGCTGCCTGGCCTGCCGCGGAGAAAGCCTTGCCAGTAAAGTTTGCGGTGGCGCGGCAAGGTTTAGAGGAGAGAGACGTGTTGTTTCTCACTCTCCAGTTCGCAGCGGCTGCAGGACAGAGGTGGGCAGCAACGGCTTCCTCCACAGGGGGAAGTTTAACGTACCCCACTCGGTCAGCGCCGTCCACAGATGACAGGAGGGAGGATCTCGGATTGTGCACTCGACTGGTGAACGGCGCGTTCCATGACTTAGCTATTTCATTGTGCACCTCCGGGAAAAAGGGGCCGGGCCTCCGGGGGGTGTCCTTTTGGCCACGGTCCCACTGGAGGTACCACTCATCCAGACGGCTTCTGGCCGGCTCGGCAGGAGGCACCCACTCCAAACCAAGCCCATCAACCGCCTTGGTCAGGATGCTTAGGAGCTCGATATCACTATGATGGAGGTCCCCCGCGTTGCTGCCGTGGGGCGCAGTGTAATCCAGCGGGCTGTTGGACCACTCCTCGCTCGCAGACGCTGCCACCGAAATGGCATCATCTTCATCCTCAGTATCCTCCATGGCACTGAAAGACATCATATCTCACGCGCCGGGGGAGGGTCGGAGATCAACGGTCATGAAGCGCACTGGAAGGGAACCTGCACCAGGGGGGTGAGGAGCGCGTGGGCACTTTACTCCCTTGGCTCAAAAGAGGCTGCAGAGGAAGAGCACGGCAGAGCTATTTGGGCGAGTTCATCAGCATGACCCAGGCAAAAGACGCATGATTCGTGGCCATTGGAGAGTTCGCTTGGCTCCACGCAGGAGAGGCAATCGTGAGAGGGTATCCTTGTCCGAAGCTCACCGGAACACAGCAGAGGAGAGAAGGCGTGTCTGCTACAGCGTGTAGATCACGGTGAGTACTCTTGATGATAGGCTTCTTGCTTCTCGTAGAAGGTTGGCTGAAGGAAAAGATTCTGGATGGCATACAAGCGCTGCTTTATATAGAGTGGGAGCCCCTCATATTTTGAGCGCTTGAATGCCATTGGCCAGTTTCACTGGCGTGATTCATTAAGGCTTCAGTAGTATTTGGAGGAAAGGGTAATTCCCATAGCAATGTAGAGTGACCGAATCGAAAGGGAACTGTCAAATTCCAGATGCTTCCTCAACCTCAGCAGTTCCATCTGAATTCCAAATAACAGCCCAACAGTCCATGTGGAAGATGAATAAATGGAGAGAGTATTAACAGACGAGAATAATTATTAACGAAATGTACAAGAAAAAGGGAAGGGGATGAATATTTAATAGTCTGTCCCTGAGCTTGACGTCTAGCCTTTTGACACATACAGTATTAAACAGGATGGCAGGATGCTCTTGTGTATTTATGAGTGAAACAGCAGGCTGATGCTGCAAAGGATTGTAATGTGTGATGCTTTGTCAAATTGAGGTAAATAATATACAAAAAAATTGGGTTTGCGGAACAGATAAATATGGAAATGTGTCATATTTTAGTGAATTTTAACAAGCCATTTTGTTCCTTATTTATTTGCATACATGCATAATTGAATGCTCTGGCGGTATTTGCAATGGAACGGCATAATGATCAACTGAATCATGCCTGCTATAAAAAAAAAAAAACTGAAACTATGCAGTTATAAACGTTTAACACAGAAATATGTATCAATGGAAGATGAAATGGATCAGATCAGATTAGTCAGGAAGGAAAATTATGACTGATGTTGTTTCCAGTTTTATTTCCCATTTTTATTCACCAATCAGAGAGTCGCTGAGGGCAAATTGCTCCAAAAGAGCACTGCAGAAAATGTCCCGCTCCTATGAAATGATGAAATAGCTGTTTCCCTATGCCTTTAAAACAATTAAATATTTGTGTATAAATGTATGCATATTTTGCAAAAAAAACCTTAAAATATATTGTTTCTATAGATATAATTGGCAACTTTTAAATGAATAGTTTTATATTTCACCATAATTTTAATTTGTCATTCCTCATGCAGTGATTGGCTTGCTTTATAGCTAAACCTCCTTTATCCTAATGCTTTAACAAAGACTTTTTAAAAATCCCTATAGGAAAAATTAATGTAAAAAATGCCTCTGTAACTTCTGTCTACACTGTAAACTCCTTTGTATACTGCTCTTTTAGACAAATATAGTAGGTTGATCAGGTATTCTTTGCATACTTTACACAGCAGGCTATACAATATACAGTACCGCAGCTGCAGCAGTGTAATGTTATTCTGATCATAGATTTTTTTAAAGTAGGCTGCATACACTAAGTAGTAATTTAGTACTTTATTTCAAACAGCCATTGGATACTGCACATTTTGATCCTGCCATTTCATGCAAGTTTGCATACTAATCACATCATAGAATAGTCTACGATTTCAAACATAGCTTTGCTCTTTGCATACTTTCAGAGTGCACTTGATTAATTAGTAACATCTCTTTAATTTGGTTTGTTTGCGCTTTAGGGTACATTTGCATCTGTTGTGCAACTGTAGTTGAGTTGTGTATGTGGAAATGCAAAAGCCACACGTTCATGATTTTACGCTCCGCACTTTGGGGATAATAAAGACATGTCAAATCCACTCCTGCCAGTTGGCCACTGCTTTAAAAAGCTGGTTTCAAACCAGTGGCGTAGCGGACAGGCACGCTGGGCATATAACCTCTTCGTGTTGCGATACATGCTCTTGTATCGGCGATAGCCAGAGATATTGTATCAATATACGCATCAAATATTAGCAATATCAAGAGTATTTGACATTTTTATGTAATGTAACGTTAAGCCTGTTACATTCTTCTTATTATTAGACCTATTATAATTATTATTAGGTTACTTTTATTATTACTTTTATTATTATTATTAACGCTGTCAGTTGGCTATTTTATTCACTTAAATCAACGGATGAATGAAGTGATTATTTTGTCTTTGCAAGTGCACACGCACACTGTGTGCGAGGAGAGACTTGTTTTTATAGTCTATGTGAGAGGCACGTTTTAAGTAGGGCTGGGCGATACCCCTTATTTTGTTTTCGATACGATACCAATATTTTTCAAGGCAGTATCGTCTATATCGATACCGATTCGATACTTCTGCACTAAACTTTGAAATTCTGAAATTTGTGAAATTATTAAATTACTAAGAATAAAATGGGCAATGAAAACCACTTAACTTTAAGTTTAAAATGCATTTCAACCCGTTTAATCCCAATTTTTTTTCCCAGACACGAAAATATCCAAATGATGTCTCATTAGTAACCCTTTGAAATAATCCTTTTTTTTTTTTTTTTGGAAAAGTGTGTGAACATTTTTATTTTATGGTCGGTCACAATTGTAACCGGTGGGATAATGTGTATACTGAATTAACATATTTCTGCAGTCTTAAAAATTGTTATATATCTTAGCCCAGCTATTTTAAACAGTTTGATCACATTCTAGGGTTACTATTATGCATAAAAAAACCCTTATACAACATTGATAGGAATACTGAGATCAAATACAAAAAATACAACCGTCAACGTATTTTAAAATTGTTACTTTTTTGTAACATATATCATCACATTTTTATATTAGTGCTACCAGTATTACAACATTAATATTCTTATTTGTAACATTTGAACTTTTGATTTAGTGCAATATTTTGTACTGCCATTAGGGACTGCCAGTGAATGGCTGTTGCATGCATAAAATGCATCCTTTTTATTCTTACAGTGTATGATTTCTATTAACATTACAGTATAGAACATGAGCAATATTATCTTTCAACGTTCAATTTAAATAATTGTAATTGCACAAACTGTAGGCTACAATTTCAGTTTGTTTATTGTGAAATAACCTTCTGTCCTCTGATAAGCATTGTTCAGGGCTGCTGTTCCCAAAAGCTTTAATGCTTTCTTATGATACTTTTGGGAAACGCAGCCCTGTTTGAACGCACTGTCAGCAGAGAGTGAATCTCTGTGATTGATTGGTTCTGTCTTGCAACATTTGCATGTGTTCAGATGAGCAGGAAAATAGTTCTATCCTACACAACTACTCGCTAACAAAGGTTATTCGTCTAATTCAATGCATATTGTACGCATTATTATTATTATTATTATTTTTGTTAAATAAACAAAATCACTGGTAAATAAAACGCACCTTTGAGTTTGAGTATCGATACGTGAGTATCGATATATCGATACTTCGGAGCGATACGCCCATCCCTAGTTTTAAGTGCGCGCACTCTCTCTGGGTGAGAGTAGCGTTTATCTGAGAGTCCGCAAGCCCAAAGGTTCAGAATTACGCTATAGATTCATCGCGTTTACAGCCAAAAGCAATCAAATACGGCGTTTTAAACAGTATTTGTGCCGCAAAATACGCCGTTGTGGTTACGCCGTGATTATTGCCATATGACGGCGTAAAAAAACGCCGTTTTGGTTGCACAGAGCGCGCGTCATTGACAGCGTTTTCCTTAAAGTATAATGAGCCACACCCGCTGATTTCCACAGCCAGTAAGTTTGAATTGCTCTCACCCAATCAGTGATGAACAAAACCAGACCAGACTAATTCACCAAGATTGTTTTAGCAGAAGTGCCTCTGAAATGATAGGAAATATTTATGTACAAAGTAACTTTTTGTATATTTT